CTCGGGCCAAGCGTTTTCGCCACTTGGTGGATGATCCCCCCGCGCCGTCTCAGAAGCAGGGGTGCTTTTGAAGAAGCCCTTCCCCCCTCCCCCCCACCCCCCTCTGCGCGAGGCTCAGGTGGTCCGCGCCCTCCATGTTTTCTGTCAGCGCAGAAGCGTCACTCTGGAGGGCCCTCCAGGGCAGAAGCTGGTGGCCACCGCGGCCACGCGCAGGAGCGGCCTGGAAGGGACACCCCCCCGCACGCAGACGCAACAGGCTGGCGGCCACAAGGAAGCCCGGCGCATGCGACGAGCGGCGGCGAGCGAGGGGGGGGAAGCGAGAGGGAGGAGGCCTTCTCAACGGCGGCGGGGCTGCTCAGAAGCCCGCTCGCGGGCCTTCCGAGAAGACCTCACTGCGTCAATCGGGGCAGGCTTCGAGAACTCCTCGCACGCCCCGGGCCTGCCGAGCCTTCTGAGAAGGCTGGCCCCTCTCTGCCTTCCCCCACTCGGCCCAGACCCCCGACGTCGTGATGTGCCCCAGCGGTCCGGACCCACGACCCACACAGGGCCCGCTTTCCATCCCGAGTCGTCTTCTCTCACGGCCCCCAGGGCCCGGCGAGGGCCCCCCCGAGGCCGACGACAGCGACAGACTGCCCGTCGTGATCCTGTGCGTGACTCGAGGGGGTCTGGGGGGCTCGCCGCCGAAACGGCCCTCCAGAAGCAACACAAAAAAAGCAGCTCGCGCGGCGGGCTGCTCGCCCACGGGATGTGAGACCCTGGCACAGACGAGTCGCGCAGACAGGTCAAGAGGACGAGGCAGAGGAACAAACAACTGCGTAAACATACGGCAGGCTCGTGCGGCGATGACGTCGGCGCTGGTCTCCGACTCCGACACCCCGTGGATCGTTGAACCTTGAACGATCGCAGCCCCCCGATGGCTCATACCATCTCGCTGGGCATCGATCGGCTTTTTGGGGCCACTGGCGGCGATCCAACTTGAGCGCCCGAGCTGGCGAGGAACCTGCCGTTCACTTAGAGAGCTCCGCTCGGATTTCTCGGATCGGCGCAGGACCCCCCCCCCCTGGAGGCGCCCCCGGCGCCGCCCCTGGAGCGCTCCGTGCGCCAGGGAGGGGGGCCCTGGCGCCGCTCCAACGAGGTCGCGCGGACCTCCGAAAGCGTATGGTTGTGCACTTGCTTCTTCGTCAACTGACGGGCCCTGCTTGACTCACGAGTGGGCGCTGCACAGGGCGTACCCGGCTGCCGAGGAGGTGCTCCAGCAGAACTCCCCGGTCCTGGGGGGGCAAAGACGGTGCAGTCATCGTGCTGCCACAGGGAAGGCTGCCTCCGGAACAAAGGGGCCCTTTCTGGCCACGGCGAGCCTCGGCCACGAGCAGGTCCCCCGAGCTGCATCTCCAAGGACCGGCCAGGGAACGGCCCGAGAACCAGAGCCCCTCCCGAGCACAGAGTGGTCCCGGTTTCGGCGGATTGACTGCATCCATGCAACTGCTGCCGAGCAGGGACCGACCGCCCTGGCCTCCCCGTGGGCCCATGTGCCACGAGCTGCTCTCAAGGCAAGACGTGTGCTCTGAGACCTCGCTGGGCCGACTGGGTAGAAGCAGAGCGTCTCTCTCCCACAGGCATGACACGTCGTGCAAGCCAGAAGAGGATGCTGGGAACATTCCTCGGTGGGCCTCCATATCAGCGAATCGGGAAGCTTCGCTACTGCTTGATGCTCCAGGAACACCGGGCACCCTGGTACAACAACGAAGGACTGACCCACTGGCAGGCTCCCAGCGGCGGCGTGTCACTGATGCTGCTCCCTCTGCCCTCCCGGGGTCCCGTCGGCACAGGGGGCCACGTAGCACAGCCCGGAGAGGAACTTCGTCGCGCACGTCTCGCAAGCCTTCACCGCGGTGACCTCGCGGCGGTCCGTGGCGCCCGCCGTGTCGACCGACAGCGAGCGCGCCGTGGCGGCCAGGGCAGCCAGCAGGACGGCCTGCCACGTCTTCGCCATGGCCGGGGAGCGTCAGGGGAGCCCCGCGCGGGACGAGTGGACTCGGATCTCGGTAAGCCAGGAAGGGAGCGGGAGCCTCGGGTCAGAATGGCGGCGGTGCCCTCCCATCCTCCCCCCATCTCCCCCTCCCCGGCTCCTACCCAGGCCCCCCCCTCCCTGGCCCCATCTGGCAGTTGCGCGCCCCCCTGACGCGGGTGGCGTCATGCTTACGGCGCCTGCTTTAGTGTGCCCTCGCCTCCTTCAATAAGACACTGCCTCCCTCGGGCCAAGCGTTTTCGCCACTTGGTGGATGATCCCCCCGCGCCGTCTCAGAAGCAGGGGTGCTTTTGAAGAAGCCCTTCCCCCCTCCCCCCCACCCCCCTCTGCGCGAGGCTCAGGTGGTCCGCGCCCTCCATGTTTTCTGTCAGCGCAGAAGCGTCACTCTGGAGGGCCCTCCAGGGCAGAAGCTGGTGGCCACCGCGGCCACGCGCAGGAGCGGCCTGGAAGGGACACCCCCCCGCACGCAGACGCAACAGGCTGGCGGCCACAAGGAAGCCCGGCGCATGCGACGAGCGGCGGCGAGCGAGGGGGGGGAAGCGAGAGGGAGGAGGCCTTCTCAACGGCGGCGGGGCTGCTCAGAAGCCCGCTCGCGGGCCTTCCGAGAAGACCTCACTGCGTCAATCGGGGCAGGCTTCGAGAACTCCTCGCACGCCCCGGGCCTGCCGAGCCTTCTGAGAAGGCTGGCCCCTCTCTGCCTTCCCCCCCTTGGCCCAGACCCCCGACGTCGTGATGTGCCCATGCCGTGGACCCCCAGCGGTCCGGACCCACGACCCACACAGGGCCCGCTTTCCATCCCGAGTCGTCTTCTCTCACGGCCCCCAGGGCCCGGCGAGGGCCCCCCCGAGGCCCACGACAGCGACAGACTGCCCGTCGTGATCCTGTGCGTGACTCGAGGGGGTCTGGGGGGCTCGCCGCCGAAACGGCCCTCCAGAAGCAACACAAAAAAAGCAGCTCGCGCGGCGGGCTGCTCGCCCACGGGATGTGAGACCCTGGCACAGACGAGTCGCGCAGACGAGTCAAGAGGACGAGGCAGAGGAACAAACAACTGCGTAAACATACGGCAGGCTCGTGCGGCGATGACGTCGGCGCTGGTCTCTGACTCCGACACCCCGTGGATCGTTGAACCTTGAACGATCGCAGCCCCCCGATGGCTCATACCATATCGCTCGGCATCGGTCGGTTCTTTTGGGGCCACTGGCGGCGATCCAACTTGAGCGCCCCAGCTGGCGAGGAACCTGCCGTTCACTTGCAGAGCTCCGCGCGGATTTCTCGGATCGGCGCAGGACCCCCCCCCCTGGAGGCGCCCCCGGCGCCGCCCCCGGAGCGCTCCGTGCGCCAGGGAGGGGGGCCCTGGCGCCGCTCCAACGAGGTCGCGCGGACCTCCGAAAGCGTATGGTTGTGCACTTCTTCTTCGTCAACTGACGGGCCCTGCTTGACTCACGAGTGGGCGCTGCACAGGGCGTACCCGGCTGCCGAGGAGGTGCTCCAGCAGAACTCCCCGGTCCTGGGGGGGGGGCAAAGACGGTGCAGTCATCGTGCTGCCACAGGGAAGGCTGCCTCCGGAACAAAGGGGCCCTTTCTGGCCACGGCGAGCCTCGGCCACGAGCAGGTCCCCCGAGCTGCACCTCCAAGGACCGGCCAGGGAACGGCCCGAGAACCAGAGCCCCTCCCGAGCACAAAGTGGTCCCGGTTTCAGCGGGCTGACTGCATCCATGCAACTGCTGCCGAGCAGGGACCGCCCTGGCCTCCCCGCAGGCCCATGTGCCACGAGCTGCTGGGCCGACTGGGTAGAAGCAGAGCGTCTCTCTCACACAGACTGACCCGCTGGCAGGCTCCCGGCGGCGGCGTGTCACTGATGCTGCTCTCTCTTCCCTCCCAGGGTCCCGTCGGCACAGGGGGCGACGTAGCACAGCCCGGAGAGGAACTTCGTCGCGCACGTCTCGCAAGCCTTCACCGCGGTGACCTCGCGGCGGTCCGTGGCGCCCGCCGTGTCGACCGACAGCGAGCGCGCCGTGGCGGCCAGGGCAGCCAGCAGGACGGCCTGCCACGTCTTCGCCATGGCCGGGGAGCGTCAGGGGAGCCCCGCGCGGGACGAGTGGACTCGGATCTCGGTAAGCCGGGAAGGGAGCGGGAGCCTCGGGTCAGAATGGCGGCGGTGCCCTCCCGTCCTCCCCCCATCTCCCCCTCCCTGGCTCCTCCCCGGGCCCCCCCCCCCCTTCCCTGGCCCCATCTGGCAGTTGCGCGGAAGCCTGACGCGGGTGGCGTCATGCTTACGGCGCCTGCTCTAGTGTGCCCTCGCCTCCTTCAAGACATTGCCTCCCTCGGGCCAAGCGTTTTCGCCGCTTGGTGGATGATCTCTCCCGAAGCTAGCGTCAGGAGTTGTGGCGGCATCAGCAGCTTACAGAAGTGTTGCGATGAACCTCGGCCCAGTGGGAAGGCTAAGTTCTGCTGTTGCGAGCGCGTAGAAATAGTAAGGAATTCGTGCAGCAGAACGACTTCCCATCAGGATATGACATCAGGAAGGTTGAGAACGACCGTAGACGTCGCCGTCCCCCAGGCAACACAACTGTTTGCCCGAAGAGTACTCCGCGCCAGAGGGTGTTTGCGTCGGTTCCAACCTTCGAAGACTGGCCGCTATCGGATTCGGTGAGGGCATCGCGGAACATGTCCCGCAATGTCCTCCTCTTCGGGCCTCCTCCTCCTCCTCCTCCTCCTCCTCCTTCTCCTCCGACTCCTCCTCCTCCTCCTCCCGCTCCTCCTCATCCTCCTCGCGAGAACGCGGAGGAGAAAGACCCGGAGGGAAAACCGGAGCAGGAGCAGAAGGAGAAACCGGAGGTTCAGGACGCAGCAAGCACAGCATCGAATGTCCACCAACCGCAACAAGGAGGAGGAGGGAAGAAGAAGGCACGCAGAGGACGAAGAGGACCCCTCGTTCCCTGCGCGCGGGCGAGCGTGGGTTGGGGCGCACTCGAGTCGCACCGGCACTCGGCCTTCACGGCCCAGATCGCAGCCTCCCGCCGCGCGGGGGGGGGGCGAGGCGTGCAGGCGCGGGAGCGTGCGGGGGGAAGGGGGCCAACAGGAGAGAGCGGGGGGAAGGGCACGGCAGTCAAGGCCAGTCCAGTGGGCGAGAATGCACGGGAAAAGAGAGAGGGAACGAGGTGGCGAGCACAGGCTTTCTTCGCCGACGCGCTGGCGAGGTCCAGCCAGCGGCAGCCCTCAGCATGGACACTGGCGTGATAACGAGCCCCCACATGAAGCAGCGTGGTAAAGTCCAGGGGTCCTAAGCTGAGCCGGAACTAATCGACCGCTGAACATGACAAAAGGAAGTACAGGACAGAACATAATAAGTAAGCGCGCGCACACACAAGCAACCTCACCACTCATCACCAACAACAACAGCAATCATTTTAAGACTGTTCGCTCTTATCGGCTTGCGTGCTATTCAACACGTATATCCCAAACCCTCCTCTTCGTTTTCGATCGTACTCCCTTGAGGGGTATCTGTATCTTTCTTACCTGCAGCGTGTATTTCGAGCATCCCCCGGGGGGAGAGGAAGAGAGGACGGATTGACGGAAGGGACAAGGGGGAAGGAGGATCATGGACCACGAGAGAAATTAGCAGGAGGGGAGCCAAGAGCAGAAAACACGTGGCAGAATCAAACGGGTAAATCGGGCGGACAAACCCTTACAGGCGGGTCCGGAAAGCGGGCCCAGGCGGCCAGGTCGACAGGTCGACCAGGCGGGTTGCTGAAGCGAGCGTCCTGCATGAATCGCGAGGAAGTGTCAAGCGATAGTAAGATTACAATGCAAATCGTGGGGAAATCCACATCGAGAGCCTGATTTCTGAGTGTCGAAAGCGCGGCGTCTGAATAAATCCAACGGAATTCCCACGCGAGAGCTCGATCCTTTCATAAACTGTGAGGAAATCCAGCGCGAGAACCAAAATTGCACACTGTGAGGAACTAGCAGGCGGAATCGCGTCGTCGTTGTGAACCAGGCGGATCGATCGTGAGTTCAGCGTGATTAGCCAGAAAGTTTCCAGCGAGAAATCGATTCCCAATAATATTCGAAGAAGTCCCCAGCGAACGCGCGATGTCTGAATGGCAACAGCGAGGCGCCTGAGTAAAGTATGAGGAAGTCTCAGGGGGGAACGCGATTCTGGAGTAAATCGAAAGGAAATCTCAAGCGGGAGCGGGGGACCAATGTAAATTTCGAGGCAATATCAAGCGGGAGCCGTTGTTGTTGTAAACCAGGGGGCCAGGGGCACAGTTGAGGAAGACCTTCCCTGATAAAAAACAGCATGCGAGCGCCCGGAGGGGCACTTCAATTGAAAAATACAATGTGCACCGGAGGGGGGGTCAACACTAATTATATTCTTCAATAGTGAGAGCTCAACAACAACAACAACAACAACAACAACAACAACAACAACAACAACAACAACAACAACAACAACAACAACAACAACAACAACAACAACTACTATCATTTCAAACTGTTCGCCTTATCTGCTCGGGTGTTGAATAACGCGAATTTCCCAAACCCTCGTTACCCGCCCTTTTCGTCTTCGATCGAACCCCTTTTGGGGGGTATACCTAACTTCCCTGCAGGCCGGGCCCCGGCAAGCGGCGGGGCAGCCGCGGACCGTCGGCCTGGCCAGCGGCAGCGCTGATCAGCGGGGCGGCCGCGGACCGTCGACCCGACCCCAATAGGGACGGACAGGGGACCGACCACGACGACGACGACGTCGACGACGACGACGACGGCAACGACGGCGACGGCGACGACGACGACGAGCGAAAGCGAGAGCGAGAGAAAACGACAGCAGAGCCACGAAGGACACGAAGTAGGCCACGAAGGGCGACAGCGGGGACACGAAGGGAATGCGTATGGGGCCACGAAGAGCGCGAACGAGCGTGGGCCGCGAAGGGCAGATAATGCGGGGCCACAGAAGGCAACGATGGGGCCATTGAGGGTAGCACCTGGGCCACGTAGGACACTGAGCGGGCCACAAACGGCGACAGCGGGGCCATGAAGGGCATGCACATGGGACCACAACGGGCGCGAACGAGCGGGGGCCACGAAGGGCATACGTATGTTGGGCCGCGGAGGGTAAGGACGGGGCCACTGTGGGCAGCAACGGGGACACGAAGGGCAGCGAGGGGGCCACGAAGGGCAACAGCGGGGCCACGAAGGGCATGCATATGGGGCCACCACGGGCGCGAACGAGCAGGGGCCACGAAGGGCATACATATATGGGGCCACGAAACAAAGAGAGGGGGCCACGAAGGACTGCAACGGGGCCACGAAGGGCAGCGAGGGGGCCACGAAGGGCTGCAACGGGGCCACGAAGGGCTGCAACGGGGCCACGGGGGGCAGCGAGGGGGCCACGAAGGGCTGCAACGGGGCCACGAAACAAAGCGAGGGGGCCACGAAGGGCTGCAACGGGGCCACGAAGGGCAACGAGGACGCCACGAAGGGCTGCATCGGGGCCACGAAACAAAGCGAGGGGGCCACGAAGGGCTGCAACGGGGCCACGAAACAAAGCGAGGGGGCCACGAAGGGCTGCAACGGGGCCACGAAGGGCAGCGAGATCCCGATTCACAGGTAATCTGTGAAGGAGACCTAAGCGTGAGCGCGACTCCTGGGTGCCTGGGTGCCAGGAGCGCGGTGCTGGAGTAAATTGCAAGACGTTCCAACGCAAGGGCGCTATTCTTCAGTAAATTGCAAGCAAGTCTCCAGCGAGAGCGCGACTCCAGAGCGCAGGAGGAGCGATTCCTGCAGAAATCGTAAGGAAGTCCCAAGCGAGAGCGCGATTCTTGAATAAAATACGAAGAAGTCTTGGGCGGGAGCGGGGGTCCTGGCTAAATTGTGAGGAAGTCTCAGGCGGGAGCCGTTGTTGTTGTAACCCGGGGGCCAGGGGGCCAGTTTGAGCAGGAAGACTTTCCGTGTCAAAAAACAGAGTGCGAGCCCCGGGGGGGGCACTTCAATTGGAAAAATCAACGTGCACAGGTGAGGGGGGATCAACAATAATTATTCTTCAAGAATGAGAGTCCAACAACACTAACAAAAACAACAACAACAACAACAACAACAACAACAACAACAACAACACCAACAACAACAACAACAACAACAACAACAACAACAATTACTAGCACGTGGGGACACTCCGTTCTCACCAGTGCCAGGGTTTTCATACGACGCCCGCCAATACCCCCACTTTGTGGGGGGGCCGGTTCAAGCTCTACCACATTTCCAAACGACTCTTCGCCACCACCCACACCCAGCTTCCCGCCCTATGACGTTCGGACACTTCACTTCGTGGCCTGCGGACGACCGTGGCTACTACACTGGCGCATGGGTACAGTGACTTGTTGTGGTAACATTTTCTGGACGCTAGCTTAGTATACGACTTTTCCCCCTGTTCCAACACTGGACACCTGTACTGGTTTTTGGTGGTAACGTGTTCCTGACGCTAGAATAGGAAACCACGGTAAACCAGTACGACGCCGGTACTGTCTGTAGGTCCTACAATGATATGGACTGCTTTGGCTGGTGAGGCTAAAATTCCTAAGAAACCCAATGGTTTTTGAAGATTTCGGCGTGCGCGCGCGAAGAAAAAACGAATGTGTCCCGCATGGTATTATTTGACAGGGATGATGGCCCTGGCAGGTGCGCAACCGTTGTTGGAGAAGTTCGAAGCACGTGAAAAAGTTGCTCGCAAAAGCCCGTTTGACAGAAATGTTTAAAAAGTGTTGGGTTTCCTACGAATCCGCAAGAGCGCGCGGGATGAAATTTTGACATTTTTTTTTTGAAAAACCATTGTTTTTTTTTTGATGTTTTTATGTTAAAATCGCTACGAACACTAAGGTTTTGGAAGGATTTCGTCTTGCGCGCGCGAATGTCCACTTTACCTTATTTGTTGCAAGGGATTCTTGAAGTTTGGTTATGTTAGAACAAGAAATGTCCACTTTGCCTTATTTTTTTGCAAGGGAAAACCGCCCGTAACAAAACAACCAGATCCGGACCAACCCGTTTTGCCGGAGACTTCCTCACGAAAATGATGAAAACATGGCTGCGGCCTAGGCGCGGCGAGGGGGCCGTGCACCAGGGGTCCCAACAATAATTATTCTTTAGAAGTAATAATGTTCAACAACAACACTAACAACAACAACAACACCACCACCACCACCACCAACAACAACAACAACAACAACAACAACAACAACAACAACAACAACACCAACACCAACACCAACACCAACACCAACACCACATCACACACCTACCCTTCCAACGCGCGACCGAATCCAAACCGCTAAAAATGACACTGAAGGACGCAACAAGCTGCGCGTGCATCGAAGTGGCTTCCTGATGCAGGAGCGCGGTGTACCTGTATACATGTACCTGAATAGATATATATAGAGAGAGAGAGGGAGAGAAAAGAGAGAGAGAGAGAGAGGTCTTCGGAGATGTATGTGTTACACGCAGACAATCACGCACTCGGTCTTCCGACGACGCAGCGAGACGGCAGCCACTGGGCCGCCCAGCGGGCCCAAAAGGGCGACGGCGAGGGCAGGGCAGCGGCGCCGAGGCCCTGCCCTCCCCCGGCGCGCGGGAGGCCAGGCGGGGGGGGCCGGGGCGGCGGGCCACGAGCAGGCGCTGGCACTCGAGCGAGGGCGCGGACTTGCCGCACGCGTGGTC